CAACAATAAGTGGGAATGCATAAGCATTCCCACTTGATAATAACTAGAAAAAGCTGTTTCGGAGAAACAGCAAGTGGGAATGCTCTTGCTGAATGAAAAAAGCTGAAATTAACTGCAGAACATATGAAAATGTGATAGGAAGTCATCAGAAAGTTTAAACTGCAGAAAACAATTGAATCATCTGAAGATTTTGTAGCGTAGAATCATTTGGCAGCAAAATTGCAGAAACAGACTCATCTTAAAAGCTGCACAGCCAAACCATACATAATATCAAAAAATGTCTTTAATGTGTGCACTAGAAGGGTCTTAAGATAATGTCTCCCAAGTTTCTAGAAAGATTTCTACAGAAATTTTGAAGGGGGGCCACCTACTGCCCAGAAACATGTCAGGCATGTGATGAATTAGCAGCAAACAGAAAAGCTTAATTCCTGTCCAGAAAGAGAGCAAAATTAAGTCAAAGTTCTTAGCATAGGCTGAAAAATATTAAATTAGCTGAATCAGAAAAGAAATTACAAAGAAAAACTTGAATCTTATCTGGTTGAAGAAAATATGAGTAGTTCAAGGATGGGAGGTAAAATGTTGAGGAAGATGGTATTGAATAAGTATCAAAATCTTGAAATTGTGGAAATGTCAAGACAATTTGAAATTATTTAAAATGTGTCGGTTGATCAGCATAAAGAAAACAGCGTCATCCTTAGAGGATTGAAAATCTACAAACCTATGTGCAAGACTGACCATGAGAAGCAGAGGAAGGACAGAGAGAAACTTATAGAAAGAGAGCTAATACCACTTAAGGAGCTGAATTTATNGTTTCACATGTAATTTCAGTCAGTGGATGTACAGAACTAACGAAAATCCATGTATACAACGATGTATCCTATAGTATAGAATGTAGACGAGGGATGGGCAACTGGCGGCCCGCTGATAGATCAGTAATTATAGAAAAAATGTAATTATACTTTTAACCGATTGAGGGTGCACTGTACCCAAACAATAGCAGGCATGGGCCGCTTTGTAACGCGAGAAAGAAAGAAAGTCAAGGGTCATGGCTACTAGCATAAAGAGAAAACTTGAGGGAGAAAATCACATTTTTCTGATAAAATCGGAAGAACAGTACCTCTTCACTTAATTCAAAGAAAAGAAAATCTGTCTAGTTTGCTTGGAGACATTATCAGCCCTGAAAGATTACAACTTAAGTCGGCATTACTGCACCTTGTATAAGGATAAATATGAGAAATAAACTGCAGCTGCCAGAGCCGCTGTAGCAGCAGCAGTTTTTCACAAAAGCTACAATGTGTCAAGAGTCAGCCATCACAGCGTCTTATGATGTGGCACTCTAACTTGCCAGGGCAAAGAAGTCACTGTCGGATGGAGGAGTGGTCAAGAGGTGTGCAGTGAAAAGGGCCAAAGCATTTGGTGACATTAACACAGCTACTAACTTTGAAGCTGTGTCCTTATCCCGATGCACAGTAACATTCAGGATTTTTGACATTCACTATCACGTTGACGTAAAAATGAAACAAATCATGCAGGACTGCAAATACTTCTCATTAGCTTTGGATGAACTGCATGCCGAGTATGGGGACTTACAACTGCATATGGATATTAGATGGATGAATGAAGGAAAGTGTCTGGAGCGTTTTTTTTACACTGCGCTCAGAAATACCAGTGTTCTTGGAGAACAGTATTAGTTGTGACACAAGTGTATAATACGGGAAGCTCATAGATACACAGTTTCTTTGTGACATGGCCTTTCTGACAGACATCAGAGTGCATCTCAACCACCTCAACACACTCTTACAGGGGAGAGATCAAACAGTGTGTGATCTCTATTCTCACATGACCACATTTCAGCACAATCTCGGGCTCTTCATTGACGGCTTTTCTTCCCCTCCTGCAAATTTGTAAATTTTCCCACGTGCGCTGACATTCGTAAAGAGAGCCCCCACTGTGCAAATCAAATCCAGAAATATAGAGCAAACCCTCAAAAATTACATGAGCAATTCCACAATCGTTTCCAGAATTTCCACAAGATACAACCACGAATTGCGCTATTCCCAGACCCCCTTTCTGCTGTGGTCAGCAGGCAACCATCAGAGCTGCAGCTCGCAGAGTTTGAGCAGACCAGTTTTTTCAAGCGCAACGAGAGGGGAATTTCATTTTGGTGACTCCAAGGGGGTCCCGTAAGGCCAAAAATATGTTTATGTGTCTTCTGGTCAGTGTTGGGCAAGCTACTTGTTCAGTGTAGTGAGCTAAGCTATCAGTTACTCAACAATAAATTAAGCTTCACTACACAAAAGCTACCACCTAAAGAATTATAGCAAGCTAAGTTACACTAATGTGTTAAAAGTAGCTTAACTACATCGAAGCTACTTAACGTTGTACCAACCTAATATNCCCTCTGATTGGCTGGAATGTCCCTACATCCCTCTAAGTGGCTGATATGCCTCAACCTCCCTCTGATTGGCTGATATGCCATAACTTCCATCTGATTGGCTAATCTCTGCTAGCTGCTCTCTGATTGGCTGTTTTTGTGTTGGACTGACCCGTTTGGACTGAAGTGAACGCTGTAAATCTCCTTCAGGTGTCCCTCGAGGAAAACCACGCAGCGTCCCGTCCTCAGGTCCCAAACCCTGCCGAACGCATCCAGCCCCCTGATTGGATGAGAAAAAGGCAGAACTATTGGCTAACGGAGATGCCGATTACCAGTGATCAATTATGAAGATATTAGTCAGAAAATGATACAGTTACAGCTCAGAAAAACAATTACTGAACCGTTAAAGATCAGAAGGAGGAACCACACAGCACAACCGACCCTGTAGCAGCCAATGAGCCGTCAGGATGGAAGCTGATGTCATGAACTCCTTTGCTGTGACCTTCCTGATGCAGGATCTCCTCCTGAACCTCCAGGTCCCACAGACGCCATGAGTTGTCGTAGCTGTTGGAAGAGAGTATTCAGCGTTACTACGGAGTACGCACAGTTACTACAGAGTATACAGACAGAACTAAGCCCTCAGCCCGATATCACCCAGGAACTACTCGGTTCTGGTCTCTCTTACCAGGTGGTTCCCAGGAATCTTCCGGAGGGATGCCAGGAAACCCGAGACACCCGATCACTGTGACCCTCGATGTCCGCCACTGGCTCGTCACTATGACAACCACAGAGACGAATTTTCATTAGTTCTCTCTGTGTTAAAAGCCAGGCCCAAATTAAGCCCCGCCCACCCACCTCTCCAGGTTCCACAGCTTCACCGTCCCATCAGCAGCACAGGAGGCCAAGTTGACGTCTGATTGGTCGAGAGATATTCCGGACTGCGGGCGAAAGACGATGGCTCCTACGTTGGTGTTGTGTCCTTTAACCAATCACAGCACAGAGAGGAAAGAGGATAGTTTGCTTTAGTGTTGAACCAACGTTAGCGTCACACAGCCGTAAACAGAACCAGGAAGAGAGAAGCTCCGCCCACCTCTGAGGGTCCGGATCAGTGTGCAGTCAGGGACGGACCACAGCTTACACAGGCCACTCCTGAAGGGGTTAGCACGCTAACATTAGCTTCATTCAGGAACAAGGATACCTGTGTGAGGAGGAGCAGGGTTCTTACCATGACGCCGTGGCCAGCATTTTGGAGTCCGGACTGAAGTGGCAGAAGCTGATTGGTCGATCATCTCCAATCTGACTGCAGAAGTTGTTCAGATTCTGAAAAGAAGAAGACTTTCAGAGGCGGTTGTTCAGGTCCGTGTATAAGAGTAGACCTCGCATCAATCACTTTCGCACCGACTTGATGTGGTGGCGCCATCTTGGGGTGGTCAACAGCTCCACTCAGTGTAATGTGTTGAGCAGGAACAGAATCAATTTTAATCAACTTTAACTTTGTGAACTTTTTAAAATCCTCCTCCTCACCTATAAAGCCTTAAATGGCCAAGCTCCATCTGATATCAGAGATCTGATTGTTCCTTATGTTCCTAACAGAGCACTTCGCTCTCAATCTGCAGGTTTA